CGGCAGAGACGAGGCAGGCAGACGCGAGAGGCGCTGGGAGGCAGAGTTCAGAGGGCTTAACGGATGCAGGCGGAGGCAGGGCCGTTTTCTTCCAGGTTTAGGCCGTGGTGGGTTAGCGGAGGCGATTCCACTTCCTGAATGGAGAACCTCGGGGGAGAAAAGGTTCTGCTGGGGGCGCGGACTTTTGGAGGTGTGAGTGTGAGGCACCTGTGGGACCGCTAAGTGGCAGCTCCCAACAGACTGGTGTACGTGTCAGTCTGGAGCCCTGAGACGTCTGTGCTGGGGGCACAGAACGAGGAGGCTGAAGCCCAGAGGTGACACTTGAACTCCTGGAGTGAATGAGACGGTCTAGGGGAGAGCAGAGTGGGGAGAGGAGGTAGCCTGGGTCTGAGCCTGGAGGCTTGTCAGCCTGGGAGGGACAAGGAGGGACAAGGAGCCTGAGAAGGAGCAGCCGCAGTGTTGGACACCCAGAGTGGGGTCCGTGGCCCGAGCAGGAGGTCTTGACCAGAAAGAAAGCACTGGGTCTCAGATGCCCTGTAAGGTCAGGCCAAGTAAGGCCCAAAGGTGTTTGAATTTAGTGACACATGGGTCGTTAGTGACTTGGACAAACGCAGTTACTTTCCGCTGGTGAAATACACTTGGCATTGTTCCCCTGCATTCTGGATTAGAAGGAGTGGCCTGTGGGGTCAAGAAGGGCCTCTGTCACTACCGTCTAGTCTAGGCAGTGGGTAAAGGGGAGATCAGGCGACCCTGGTAAGGCAGGGGAGGGCTGATCTTCCCACCTCTAATAGAACTGTCCCCCTGCCACCAGCTAAAGAGGACTGTAAGCTAGGCATTTAGAAAGGGGTTGTTGGATCTCAAGGGCTTATCATTATAAGAGTAGAACTAGAGGTGATGGCTTAGTGGCTGCTGTAGATCAGGCCCTGCTACGAGTGGCCAGGGAGACTGGCACTGGGGACGGAAAGAGCCTTTGCGGGGTCAGGGATGTGGCTGTGGACAAGGCGAGGGAAGGTCCCTCATAGAACCTCTGGATCCATAGCAAGAATGGGGCTTCTGTTGAATCATAAGAGACAAGGAGGCATGTCTAGCAGTGGCCCCTGAGACGGAAAATGGGGTTGTAGCATGTCCTGGAGCTGCGGTGACAGCGGCGGGGGAGAGGGTCGCTAGTAAAAGGTGCAAAGGCCCCGAATCCCACCTGGTTTGAATCCAGGGTTCATCCCTTACCAGCCAGGTAAACTCGGGCAAGTGACTGGGGCCTCCCTGAGCCTCAGGGGGTTCATCTGTGACGTGCATTCTCACGGCCACTGCCGGAGCTCCGCGAACGCGTGCGGGGCCCTGGTGCAGAGGCGACGCGCTGAACGGCTGCTGTCCTATTGTCATCGTTGTGACCATCATTGTCAACAGTGCGCTGAGTTATAAATTACAAAATACTTGACATGCTCTCACTGAAGTAAAAACAAATTCCAGCTCAGCTTGCTCCCACATAGCGAGGTTTTGTAACCTTCCTGGTCCATAGCACGAGTAGCCTCATATTGTCACCACAGTGGCATATCTGCCACCCCCTTAGACGGAGAGCTCCTCTAACAGAGGGGCTGCCTCTTACGGAGGTCCAGTGCTAAAATAAACTAGTGTCCTCTGTCCCAGTGTCCTGGATCTGGGCACAGAAGTGCTTTCTTGACACCAGAGCTCGTCAGAAGTAGAGCGGGGGCTTCCGAACGGGAGCCCCGCCCCCAGGGCTTATGCCAGGGGCCCTGAGCAGGGCCACCACTGGGCAGTGGCTGAACTGGCCCGGAGGCTGGTGCGGGGGATGGCGCCAAAGCCCCCGCTTTAGGTTCTGTGGGCGTTTTAATTAGGTGATTAGGTGAAACAGTTCTGACGTCCACTGGAGTCCATTCAAAGGAGTGTTTCTGTTCCCTGAGGCTTATCTGGCCTGTGCCATTAGCCAGACACGGCTGGCCTTGGGGACGACTCCTCCCTCTCTTTTGAAGAGCTCTGTCCCCAGCTCTTCAAAGCTCATGGGACTCGCCTTAGCCCAGGAGAGGAAAATGTTTTAATGGAAAGAAAAAAGTTTTTAAAAATATTTTTATATGGAAGATAGTATTTTTTTTAGAACATCAAATTGTATGTAACCTTTGGGATTTATATTTTCTCTTTCATAGATTAAAAACTACAGTACAACTACCTCAAGAGTTCTGCAAGTTCACATTATGTAAATATATGTAATAAAATATTTACTTAGGGTTTCCATTAAAAATGTCCAAAGGAGAGACTAAGAGAGCTTCTCTTTGCTGGTTTTAGAGGCTCTGCTGGGAATTCTGAGTGAAATTTAAGCCTCTCAAATATGTTTTGATTGGACTTCTTCATGTTTTATCTCCTGTAATGAACTCTTTGTCAGTTTGTCAACTTTGACTAAGGACAGAAAGTTCATGTGTAGTAACAACACACAGGCTGAATTTAAAGTTATGGTTCATATCATGATGTAATAATCCTCTCTCTTTTCCTTTAGTCAATATTTACCTGTTAGGCCAATATATTATCATTCTGACTTCAAAAGAAGACACTTTCTTTTACCTTCTTCTAGTGTTGGTTTTAGATGCTTGCAATGTCCGAGCTGGAAGCCGAGCTGTCTGAGACTCCTGGCCACACTCTCCTGGCCAGGAGTTCCTCGATTGCTGCGGGGCAGGTCCCCCTGCTCCCTGGGACCTGGCAGCACTGCGGCGGGGCCCTCAGAGCGAGGCAGCTGACCTCAGGGCCCCTCGGCTTCCTCCTGGCTTCCCAGACAGCCTCCCTCCTCGGGGGAGGAGGCCTCTCGTGCTATCCCATGGCGGCTGGGATCTCTTAGCTGGGCTGAGGCTTTCCCTTAATGTCGTGATGGTTCGGGGCTGGGCGGGGAAGCCCAGTGAATGCCCTGTCAGAGGGCGGTCTCGGAGGGTGAGGCACGCGAAGAGCGGGGAATCTTAAATGTGTTTCCTCCCCACAACCCCATTTTTTAACTGCCCCATGTTTAGACATTTTCCCTTTTAAAAACTGAGGGAAGAATCATCTCCCAGTGAAGAAGGAATAGGAGGACAAGAAAATAGCTACAAGATTTGCAGATAAAATGTATGATACCTTAGGGGTGATTATCCTGGTAACTGGGGGAACAGATGGTGTTATGTTAGCAAACTCTCTGAGTCAACTTGGCTATTAGTCAGGTTTCTTTCAGTGAGTCCTTGTAACCAAAAGGGACTGATTGACTCATGACCGGCCAAGTCCACAGGTAGACTAATTGCACATCAGCCAGACCCTGAGGTTTAAATGAAGTCACCATGATTTCTCCCTTTATTCCTCAGACCTGTTGTTCACTGTATCAACATGATCAGGGGGCAGAGATGTCCGCTCCAGAGTTACAGTGGTCCTTGCTGTCCCTGGGGTCCTGAGAGAGAGACCCTCTTCCCTGAAGTCTGTATCAGTCCCTGAAAACAGACTCAGAATAGACCTGCTGAGTCACATGCCTGTTCCTAGACCAGTCGCTGTGAATGGGGATGGTGTACAAGGGAATTACATCAAGCATATATTTAAATTTAAGCAAATTCACCTTTGTGCTCATATCGTTAGCAGACTTCTCTCTGCCCACGACGCTCTCTTCAACTGCACATTTATTTTACATGTGTATTTGTTTATATTCTGTCCATTTTGTGCCTTCTCATACATACTTGTGTGCGTACAATGAAATACACTGTATTTGACAGATGATTTGGATGTTCAAGAGTAAATACTAAATTTATAGCCCACTCGGCTTTCGGTGCGGTTCCATTGGCCGACATCATCTGCTCGTCTCTGGTGGGGCTGACAGTGACAGCAGGGCCTGTTGAAAACTGGCTCTGCTAGCAAGGGACAGGGCCGTTCTAAGAGGGAGAGCACGTAGGGTCTTTGGCTAGAAGAGAAAAGGCAACAGACAAACCAGTTATTACTTTAGTATTAACTGGTATTTAGTATCAACAGGTATTGTTGAGTGCCTACTATGTATGTGTCAGGCATTCTGTAGGCACTGGGCCCACAACAGTGAACTTGACACGAGAGGCCCTGCCTTTCTGGAGCTCACGCTGTAGGGAAAGAGACACATGTGGGAGTAACCCAGTGCAGATACGCTGTGGTATCTGGCGGTGACACGACCTGTGAAGAAAAGGCCGTGGTGGGCATCTGGAGTTACGATCAGGGGCTCTCCCAGCGCAGATGGGGGAAATGGAGGGCAGAGGGGCTCTTCTTGTCCTGGGGTTCTCTTTCCATTGCCCCTTATAAGGTAAGAAGGACTCCAACAGGCAGATCCTGTTGAGATTACCCCAAGGGTAAGAAAGGGCATGAGCCAAGCCAGCGTGCGCATGGGATGAGGTAAGATGCCTTCTAGGATGGAAGGAGCCTGGCCAGGACAGCTGCGCACAGAGCGGGTGGAGGGCGGCGGGTCCAGGTGAGACCATGCGGGGAAGTGAACAGCAGGAGAAGGAGGGGCATCGCCAGACCTGTGCTTAAGGGGGTGACCGGCAACAGCATGGAAGGTTGGACCAGAGGGGCTGCTTCAAGGCAGGATGGCCACTGGCAGGGCTGAATAAAGGCTGTGGCCAGAATGGCCTGGACGGATGGAGCTTGCAGAGGCGGAGCTTGCAGAGGCAGAGCCTGCAGGATTTGGGGGCTAACTTGCTTCTAGTGACCTGAAAGGTTTCGTTCATCATCCAGCTGGAGTCGCCTCTTGTGAGCCTGCTGATGTTTCCTCAAAGGCAAGACGCCTTAGGATCGGAGCTGTCTTGTGAAAATGGTTAAGGTTGTTGGCTGGGGATAGAAATCTCATCAAGTAGCAGCAGTAAAGTCACAGGGGTGTAGGTGGCGTGCCCTGCGAGCCTGCAGAGGGCCACCTGTGGCCTCGGAGAGTGACACGCATTTGTGGGAAGAGTGTCCAGGAGGGGGAGGGAGAGATCGCCGTTGCCTTCCAGGCCAGGCTGACGGACCTCCTTGTGCCTTTACAGGCAGCACCTATGAAGTGGGCGTGCACATCGCCGACGTCAGTTACTTTGTTCCGGAGGGCTCCGAACTGGATAAAGTGGCTGCGCAGAGAGCTACGAGTGTCTACTTGGTTCAGAAGGTAAAACTCAGCCTCCAGTTTCTTGGATTGAAAAAATGTGCTTACACTTTGTCTTCTTCTCCCTTTATTTTGTTGTTTATTTCTCTTTGAACAAAAAATTCCTGAGGCACAGCAACCTCATCTAAACATCTTTTCTCACATCTAATGAGGTCATTAAAAAATGGTGATAATAATCCAAAGGCTTCCCCTGGAAAAATGCTTGCTCTCTAGTATCGCATGTTTTCCTGTTAGGCCCTTAGGTGCTCAGGAGGAGCCAAACTGAAGAGAGAGCAAAGCGAGACACCGGTGGCCACCTCAGGCCTCCGCAGCTCAGACAGGGGTCGGCTTCAGAAGGAAGTGAGGACAAATGGCTGCTTGCTGGCTGCTGTTTCAGAGTGGGGCTCAGCGCGCACAGCCCGCAGCAGCCACCGTGGTATCAGGTTTTGCTGTGACATAGCCAGGCCCGCTCACTGACTTGACACCTGTGGAACGGTTGTGCTTGAGTAGGAGAATGGAAGGCAGACTTACTACTGGCCTTTTAAGAAAAAGTTTTGACCCCTGTTCTAGAGGGTGGGGCTCCTCTGCTCCTGACCTGTCTTTACAAGATAATATGGAGTCTCAGAGACAGACAGGCAAAGGCTTTCCTTCCAGGCCTGATTCTGCTTCCCCTGGTACGGCCCTGAGGCCATGGGCCTCCTGTAGCAAGTGTTTAAGGGCTCCCCTACCTGCTGGGTACTTCCCGGGCCCTGGGGACAGCGATGAATAAAAGACCACAGGTGAGTTGTTTCTAGCCCCTCACTGGAGCTCATGAACTCTTCCTGGTTTCTTTCTCCTCCTGTTGACACTCTGCTTGTTTGCTTGTTTGGGTCATCTTACGCCTTTGGCTCTATCCGACTTTCAGGTCCTACCTAGCCTCCTTAAATCCAGTGGGCCGGTCCTGGATCAGCACCTTTGCTGGCTTGAACCTTCCCTCCTCCCACACCCTCAGGACATGACTTCTGGTGTTTGCTCTTTGCATGCATTAAGGTGGGAGGTATATCGCCACCACCCACCCCCTCACACGTATGTGGGAGCTGGGAACCTTTTACCTGGCCCCATCTCGCAGGGGCAAGAGCCCAGGCCAGGTGCCAAACCTGCTCCATCCTGGGAACTTGCACATGTCAGCGCCCAGGGAGAGGCTATAGGCGCCCAGTCTCCCTCCACTGCCTAATCTGGCTGGCAGCGCTCACCGCCAGCACACCTGTGTGCCTGCACAGCTGGCAGGAGGAAAAGCCAGGCTCCAAGCACCACCCTCGAGAGCCACACGTCCTGGTAGGCTGCTGTGCTTCCAGCCACCACCTCTCTAGCTCCTGGGGAAGTTCACTGGCTCCTGCCCCAGGCGGGAGTGCTTAGAGGGGCGCCAAGCCAATGGCGTGAGGAAGCCACCACTGCAGGGGTTCGGGAAAGGCCTAGAAAGCCCCCGACCTTTGCAGACCTACGCACCCTGGCACGAGTGTCGAGACACCGAGACACGTCTGTGGACAGCTCCCCCTTCTCTCAGTCACCGCCAGCCTCTCCTCACTCTGCCCTCAGAACAAGAGCTTCAGAAACACATGCTCCGGGCCACCTGAACCTCCGCTGCCCACTGTCGCCCGGAACAGGCTGGCCCTTTCGGGGACATGCTGTCGAGACCCAGGCAGGGCAGGCCACCAGGAGTCCAAGTGCTGCTCACCCAGGAGATGTCGCACCCCCAGGGTCCTGGGATCCTGACCACATGCTCTCACCATGCCGGTCCCTGGGCACGGGGAAGATGCGCGGCGTCCGGGCAGCGCTCACTCTGGCCGGGGGTCTTTCCCAGAGCCAGTGTTCTCCTGGGTTCTGGTTGTCGCATAGCTAGAGATAGGAAAACCGTCACTTGACTACTTCATGTCCTCCCAATGGCCCTGTGTCACCACCTTCATGCCCACCCCTCCCATCACACCATTGCCTGGAACCATCCACGAAGGTGTTCAGATCCACCGACAAAGGGATTGTGCCCCTATCCCAGATGCACAATTGACCTGCGGTCCAAGGCTTGTAAGACCACCCAGCTATTATAGTACAGTCAGCCCCTCTATTCACTGGTTCTGTATCCTTGGACTCAACCAACTACAGATCAAAACCATTACAAGAAAAGTTACGTTACTGCTGACATGTACTGTGTAGTTAACCCTGTGATGGTTGTGTCTGCACTCGACGTGTTCAGACTTTTTTTTTTTAATTACCTGAACAATGCAGTGTAACAACTACTTACATAGCATTTACATTGTATTAGATATTATAAGTAGTGTAGAGATGATCAAAAGAACGTGTGTAGATTTTGCGCAAATGCTACACACACCAGTTTATAAAAGGGACTCGAGCATCTTTGGATTTTAGTACCTGCGGGTGTGCCCTCTTGGATACCGAGGCACGACCATACTTCCTTCTCAAGTCTGAAACCAAGGCGTCCACAGGTAGAGATGCTCGCCGTGCCCGGGGCGGCCTGGCCCTCCGTCGTCCTTAGGGAGCCCGCCCCTCCCAGGACCTCCACAGCTTCAGGGGGCTGTCGTGGAGAGCCTGTCCTCTCCCGCAGCCCGAGGCCTTCTGAAGCTGCCCTCTGGTGCGCAGGGTTAGGGCGCCGCCCCCTCAGCCCGCCCTGGCAGCCTGCGTGACGTGGGGAAGGGGGTCTTCCAGGCGTACCTCTGCCGGGCCCAGGAAGCCTGATGTCACTTGACCTTTGAGTGCCCCAGCCAAGTGCTAGCAATGCCGGGACTCGTTTACGGCAACCTCAGGCCGGAGACCTCTCACCCACATCCCTGCCTGCAAACGCAGGGCCTCTCAGGGAAGGAGGCTGAGACTCCAGACTTCTGTCAGCAAAAGCTGTACTGTTATGATGCAGTGTTATATCTACGAAAACTATAAAGTTAACACGCGAAGAGAAATAGAAGTAGCAATCTCTTTACAGAGCACATGAAGTGAATAAATGAGAAATGTTCTCTCCACGTAGAAAAGTTTAACTCTGCTCTTCAGATTCAAATATTTAAGAATTTTAGTCATAATTAGAGGTTCTTGTAAGCAGGTGTCTTTCTCTGATCTAGCTGCTGCATTCTCCGTTTGTAACCAGGACTTATGTTTCCAAATCAGAAAATGATACAACAAAATTGGGTTGAATAACCGGAAGCATGTTTTCTTTTCAGTTCCCTTTACTTAAGTTTTGTGATTGTCACAGTTCTAGAATTTCTCATTGGGACTCTGCTCCTCAGCTCTGAAAGGAGGCGCTGGGTGGAGGAAGGGCCCCCGTGCCTCTGAGTGGCTGCGGGCTCCTGCCGCCCACCCGGCACTGCCCCCAGCTTGGCAGGAGCGAGTGGCGCCAGCCCACAACCTTGGACAGCAGCAGCTGTGCCTTCAGATTCCTTGGAACCGTGGCTCTGACCTTTCTTCCTACTCGTTTCTGTTTCTTAAAGGACTGTGTCCAGGAACTTTTCTGCTGTTTTCACTTTCCCTTGCCTATAAAGGTCTTCCCAAAAGCTGGAGGAGCTGCCTGCCTCCTCCTCCAGACCCTCTGCGCTCTGATTTGGCCGAATCGTTGCCCAGCTTCATCGACAGGCGAGGCAGTGTGCGCTGTGGGGTGGGGGCGGCGTGCCGGCTGTTTTCCCTGTGAGGGAAGGTGGCAGATTCCTTTTCATTCAGTGCTGCTGACCTGTGAGTGACTGAGGTCAGAGTCACGATCGAAGCTTGACTCGAGGAACTCGCCCCTGTAGCAGGACAGTACGCAGTGCGCCCGCCTGGGGTCCAGACACTGTCTTACTGTCTCTCCTGAATGAAATTCTTTTGGTTGGGACTTTAGTCACAGAAATAAGTATTTGGTTACTCTTGTTAACGATAGGGTGTATTAGGAAGAAAGATACATTTAAATACTGTCCATCTAAATCCCTTGAAAAAACACCTTTTTTGACAAAGGTTGGATACCTGTTAGGATAGGGAATAACTGTCTGCCCTACCGTAGGCCTGTTCTTCTCTGAGGGACATGACAGTTAATGTCTCCCAACTCTCTTCTCTGAGGGGGAAATATAATGTCATTGTAAAATTTAAAATAATTTTTTAAATAAGTGAATTGGGTTTTAAAAGTAAAAGAAAACCTAAACAGTTGAAACCTAAACCGAAAATTTCTGCCTATTGGCCCAGGCACTCGTGTTATTTTAGGTGTGAAACAGCTCAAATGAAAGTTCGCCCATAAATCTCTACGATATTTTATTGGTACTACTTTATAATAGAGATCAAAGATTGGGATTGGAAGCCTGTCTTCATGTGGAGTCCAAAGAGTTTTAGAATGTTTCTTTCTGACCCCAGCAGGTTGTCAGAGTGTTGATGTTTTGTTAATGTCAAACTGTGTAACAAAGAGTCGATCAAATTCGGAATTCATGGAAGTGTTGATATGAAAAAGAAAGCTCTTTAAACAGAGATGTTGGCTGACAAGCGACTTATCTCTGTCCTTTAAGATGTTTGTGCGTGTGAGTAGGGAGCTGGCAGAATGCGCCTTATTGTTAAACCCTCGAAGTCCTCAGAGAAAAGGAGAAAACTCACCGAGTTCTCAGGCTGCGGAGGCCAGTGGGCACTGTGGGTGTGAGGGAGGCCTGGGAGCCAGCGGCGGCCTGAGCCAAGAGGGGCAGAGGGGCCGCTGCCAGCACCGGAGAGCCCGGTGGGTTGTTGACAGCGGGCCCCCTTGAGCTGCTGCGGCCCCCATGTCATTGCTAGTCCCTCCTGTCCCTCCCGGCCTAGGTGAGTGATTCTTCCCCTCTGTGGCCCTTTCTGTTGGTCACAGGGCAGTCCTGGCTAACCCGTTGCTGAACTTGGCCAGCCAGCCCGCTGTGGCTTTAGCAGATGTTTCTGCTCTCCGAGGCTAATAGAAGATTTTATAGTCTTGTTGGTGCCCCCACCCAGCTGTCTTGGGCAGTGGTGTATTTGCCTAAATGATCAGCCTCTCTCAACTCTCTTACGCCCTAGTCCAGAATGCTTAGAAA